AAATTGTACTTTTATATGAAAGCTCTCTCTCTCATATTAACACAATAGCTAATACAACTACTCTCCTACTTTAAGGTATCCTTTTACTGATTGTCTTACGCTTCTTTGGTAATCCTGTTATTAACGCGCCACTTATACTGTTTTTATTATCTTCTTTTTTTTATTATTATAATATTGGTATAAACGGTTTAATTACGCAAGTTTGAGATTTACGCTGTGAAGACAACAACCACAAGACCCGCGTGGCGAAGAACGAGCAAATACAATTCGTCCAAGCTAGCAGATCAACACCGGGTGGAACTGCACTCAAAGGAGCAAGTCAACCGCCAAACTCTCACGTGGAACCCTAGTCGTTGGTTCATTGGGCAATCATAGCCTACAGATCAATTGTAGTACCCTAAAACTACAATACCTATTTCTTGACTCTCAAATTCACAGCGTCTCAGACGTCAAAGGGTAAATACCTATATTGCAGAACCATCAAATAATAAGGATCACAAAACAGATCCACTTTCGAGAGTCAAGCAGAGACAACAACTAGCAGATAGTCCGTACGCTATCTAATATTTACTACAACCTAATATTCTCACCACTGAACTACTACTAAGTAGTGAGCGGCTCAACGGTCACTACCACGCAAGTGCATCCATCGCAGCCGCCACTATACAATGGTTAGCGAGCTCAACGAAACGGAAAGAAAACGTTGGTCTACAACTAAGTCAAAAAAAGACCCAATTGATTAAAAACCCACGGCGCAAGGGCGAGAAGGCAAAATTGAGTTGTTTTGTGGTTACAGAGACCACCTCGCACGTGCACCCTGGTCGAACAATCAACATGGAGAACAATATGGAGGAGGAATTAGACAGAAAAAGTAGAGTAGCTTCGGTCGCATTCGGGCCACTAAAAAAGCCACCAAGCAACTAATAGACGCGAAACTCGGCGCTCACCTTTTCGACTAAACAGTGTTCTCAGCGCTCTGGCAATCTACAGACACATGGGCTGATGCCTCAACCATCTCAGAAACGTGGCGACCTACTCACACAGCGCATGAACGATCTCTTCTGAAATATGACCGGCTGGCACAATTTCCACAGAATGTGAAGCTCTTTCGTAATCTGGCTCTTCTTTGAGACCTAGACGAGCACACACTGATAGCGAAATGTAGATTCGCTGGTCATAAAAGGCGATAGATCATGGTAATGAATTGCTGAGTGGACTCGTGGACTCCACGAAGTCCACACCTACCTTGCGACGACCCACCACACGTAGGCTGGTCGTGTTCGCAACTAAATATGATCAGCTGTACTCGCAGAAGAAGTTACTTCACAGATCACGATGCGACTCTCGCACTTTTCACAATGCTCGGATCAAACCACGGGCAACGATTGCGAAGTAGAGAAACGAAGCTCTCGTTAAATATTCTTCCGATGAACTAACCGATATTACCCATTCTATGTTATGTTGCTGCATTCGTCACAACAGCTGCTGTAGGTGACATTAGCTGACGAAGTTTAGAAGGATGTTTTAGGACAGAGAGTTGTTCCCAGGATCGACTTTCTATTAACCTCGGGATTGGATTACAAATTCGGCGTTTTCCTTCTCAACAATCGTGAGCTTGTTAAGCAGCATACGTTTGCTTCCGTACAATAACACACATGCGACGGCTCGCCAATCATATGTGACTCTGAGCGGGTGTTCTTCCTCGGTTGAAGACAGTTGAAAAAGACAGCTTTGAGCAAGGCGATTCTGCCGAAGCGTCAGCTACGGCTGTGTTGTATGTGTGTTATTGTATGGAAGTAAACGTATGCTGTTTAGCAACCTCGAGACTACTGGGAAAGAAAACGATGAATTTTTAATACAAAGAGTTGTTTCGGATCAGACTATTTTTCTCGTATATGACACAATTACGACTCACTACGCCTAACGGGATATTGGTTGCAATTCAGAGTAACAACCAAAGAAAATTGGGCGAAATCACGGTCATAATCAATATCGACTGCGCTAACTCTAATTTAGTGACGATGTTTTGCTAGTAATATAATGACGTTACCTTGATTGCCTCGAGAAAGTGAGACTTTGGCAATGGAGTCCTCACAGTATTATTTTCACGCACATTGGGAGTGAAGGATCGATCATTTCGGGTTACTGTGTGTGCACACTGCATTTTGTGAAAGTTTCTTTGTGTCCGCTTCTACAAATTTCGGAAAAAAAATGTGAAGAAATGATAGCATGAATGTTTCGGTTTCTGCAGTGAACCTTGATGTCTTTGATCCACTCATTTTCGGCAATTTAGTATCACTTAGAAACTAATTTAGTGACTGGGCACGTCGATGGGCGGCCGGAAGTCCTTGTAATGACGAAAATGTAAACAACACTATTTTTTGTTCAACATTGCGATTTAAGTGTGGTTAACTTGTCACTAATCACTAATGACAAATGAATATTCGGGGTACAGGTAGGCGGAAAGGTTAGTGATGCAGTCCATCAGGAAGTAAGGTGCTGGTTCGACTTTATGGTTGTGGAGAAAATCACAGAGATAACTTTATAATTCTGCTATTTCCCTAGAAATTTGTTACAGAAATTGCGGAAACACCATCTCCTAGTGTAATAATGAAACACAATGAAGCAAATCTGTTAGTCGGTTAGCAATCGATTAGTCGCGAAGCTAGTGGGTGCGTCTCTATATGGCAGGTAGACAGACCAAAAGTTACCTTCGTATTTCTGAGACGTAGATGTATCCAGGGCATGACGCCGTCTTTCTGCCGCTCCAATTTGGCACATACTTTATGTATTTACGATGACGTATTCATGCATGCGTGCGTACGTGTGTTCTCTTTCATGCGTATTATACTCCACCAGTCAATTTCGCCGAAAGTCAATTTCGCAGCCACGTGACAGTGAAGTACATGGGAGGTGGTTAGAAGTCGTTTCCAAGAAATAGGGCACATGTCTACTCTGGGAGAGACTGGAAAGCTACCCGTGACAATACTAGCTCTCACGTTCAAAGCTCAGTAAAATAAAGGGCCTCATTTCCCTGACCACAAAAGAGTCCTCGATTCGGCAGCTCTAGGTAGCATGAGTTTAGAAAGTCTGCTAAAATCTCAGGACCATTATAAATTGTGTGAAACGCAAAAGACTAAGGTTATCTGTTATAGAGAACTTCTCTCTGGAAAAGTTCTCTATCTTTCTAGACAATAGTATTTGATGTCCATATATGGCCGCCTCGCAGTCGCACATCGAACACCACAATGTAACTTTTGTAATCTACTCGGTCAATTATGTTCAGTGTTTCAGGCACAATAGCGTCTCAGGTTTAACTTCAATAGCACACCAACGATGGCTTATCCGGAGGAAACGTAACAGTGGAACAGTTTACTACTTTCTTACGAAACAACGAAGCCAATGATGTCTGATGTTTCAAGCGGTTAAGTAATCTACTGCGGTCCAAGATCAACAATCCAGATAGGCCACGGTTGCATGCGCACGTGCCCCCCGCAGCCAATATAAGCTAGGTGCCTTCGACGGCGGAGACATGTTATCACTCACCTTACCCTCGAACGGTAGTGCAGATAATCCGCTCCTCACAACATCATTCCTAGTCATGCTCAATCACCCCAGCTCATTCTCAGTAAGCGGCCAACTTATGCTATGTATTCTGTTAAGCCGCTATAGGCTTATCAGTTTCAGCCATTATCATACTGGCCCTTGACTCTTAGGCAATGGTGGCGCCTTTCGATGCTCAATGTTCACGTTGCTTACATAGCGTTATACACGACCAGCCGCCTGACTGTGTTCCGTAGTTGACTCATCATTCACTGCCCATAGCACCGTCAACGCTCATGTAACTTACTGTCCTCATCGATCCACTAAAATGCACCTCATCGCTATAATGTTGAAATCTTAGCTCAGCCAAAAAGACGACTAGTCTGTATTCCTCCCCGCCCCAGCATATTGTCTCATTCAGCCGCCGCACCGGCCGCGGATAGACGCGGCGCGGCATTGCTCACGGCTAACCAACGGTTACTTCGTTGTAATCATCCATTGTTATTGTTAATATTGTATTAATGGTATAATAATATTTTAATGCCATTGTCTTGTTGCCAGCCTCACTTCACTACAAGCCATAGCAGCTCAGAGCTTTAACTCGCGTCATTCCTTTATCATTACTTCTCTATCATTATTATTATGTTATTAATGTAGTATTTATGTACTAAAGGTTTAATTACCCAAGTTTGAGGCTGGAAGGTCAACACAACAGCTGAAAGACCTGCGTGGCTAATATTCTACATCAATCTGATCCGCTACACTTCGCCGCTAACTATTTCTTTACAGCGAGTATCTGGAGAAGAATCAACATTCGTCTCTACAGTGAAAAGCCAATAAACTTTGCTTTTACTACCCAAAATAAAAGTAATTTACCAAACAAGGTTGCAATGCGAGCATTCTAGAGGAAGTAAGCTAAGCAGAGGCTGCTAAGATCACTTCAATGTTTCACGGCTAATCAGTATAAAGGAATGTTCTACGGTGTCGATATCCAAAGTGTACTAGAAGTGGTCAACAATGTTAATCAACCCAAACGAACTTGCTTTTCGTTCAATCCAAAAACATAGAAAAGGAAGGAGAACATTATCAAATGAACAAAATGCAAATCAATGAAGTTTGCTTCTAGACTACCATCCCCTCTAAACTACCATAGTAGTCCTAAAATTATTAATGAATTTATTTCATTTCAGAATAATGTAACATAAATCGACATATCAGTTTTATATCCGAACATATTCTCAAGAGGTGGAAAACTAGTCCATCTTAGGAACGGCATAAAAAAAAGCGAATTTCCGCATACATGGTCCGTCAGCGAATTGGTTTCCTTGAGAGGTGGGTTGGTGCTAAACTTTGCTTAAAGGCGTTGTGAATGTGGAATCAATTTCGACAATGATATACTAGGTCGTTATTTTTTTCACAACAATGCAGTGCATTTGTTTTTCAAAGCAAAACTGATTTTACGATAGCAGTGTTGGTGAAAGTACACTTGCCATTACAAAACTTTTTGACAGCACTCCTGGTGAGAGAACAGATGGCGACAAAATCGGGCCACTTAGTACCATTGGTGACAAAACATCCGGACACAGCACCGTGGGGCTAAGTATCACTGGTGATAGCACGTAGGGATTAATCACATTTGGTGATAGAACGTATGGTGACAGAACAAACGGAGCCATGACAAGTGGAGAAAGAACATACGGAGAAAGAAGATACGGTGAAAGAATAAACGGTAACGGAAACGATGGTGAAAGAACCCAAGGCCCTAGCACCGACGGATTAAGAATAAGTGGTGAAAAGATGTTTGGCGATAACACCACTGGCCCAAGTATCGTAAAACCAAACACTGGAGCAAACTGATACGGACTGAGCACTAAAGGAGATAGGACGGTTACTGGTCGAATTTGCCGTTTTGACCGCCGCTAAAATAGGATAAATTATGTTTTCAAACACCTTTTAATCGCGTATATTAATCTGCTGAATAAAGTTTTTATAACAAGTCATTTGTAAACATCGGTTAATTTTTTGAACGCCAACATGTCGTAGCCCGGCTATTTCGGCGATGGTTTCCCAGAGAGCCTTCTCTCGTTCGCTCTTTGATAATCTACCGTATTTCTCAGTCTGCGCATCGATTTGTGGCTCCTTGAGTCCTGAAATCCAGTTATCGATATGTGACAGAAAAATTTAGTAGGAGGCGTGTAGTATGGGAAGTAATCGCGCAACCTTGTTCTTTATGCAGTTTCTTCATTTGGTCGACTCTCATGAATGTGAATCCTCTTTGCTTCAGATCGTCCGACTGATCATTGCTAAATGACGAGCGAAGACTTTCGAAGCTATCGGAAATCTGAAAGCTACCCAGTTACTAATGTGCTAATACCGTACCTTGCTGAAAAAACAAATGAACTTTTCACATGCCCTACACTGTGTGTATGTGTGTGTGTGTGTGTATGTTGTATGTGTGCATGTGTGTGTATGTCTGTCTACGTGTGTATATATGTGTGTATGTGTGTATGTGTGTGCATGTGTGTGTATGTGTGCCTATGTGTGTGCATGTGTGTATGTGTGTATGTGTGTATGTGTGTTTGTGTGTGTATGTGTGCATGTGTGTGTATGTGTGCCTATGTGTGTGCATGTATGGTGTGTGTGTGTGTGTGTGTTCACAGAAACATTTGGCAATTATTAAAAAATAAGGATAGGTGCTACTGATGTGCCTGGATGCTTGTTGCAACTAGTTTACGGTGATTAACGAGTAGTGAATTTGAGGCAGGTAAAAGCTTTTTGGTGAACCCTGAAACAAAGGGATCATTGCAAACCTCATCGCTGACTCTCAATAACTCTTCCCCGACTCCAAGTGCGCTCAAGTTATCCAACACCTGAAGCTTAACAAAATTTTGCCCTTGTCTGGAAACATAACTGGTCGCATTAAAGGAAGTTCAGGATAAGAATCTCACCTTCATCGCATTTTCTACGGTCTCACGTGCTCCAGACAGCTCCATTATCACCTGCAGAACTCGTTCGCGATCTTTGGCATCTAGACCGCTATTTTCAAGCACCTCAATATCTGTACATTTATAAGCCATCGTAAAAGAAGAGAGGACAATATATTTCGATGCTGAGCAATCCCTAAGGGATACGCCATTAGTCCGGTTCCATTAAGCATTGCAGTGACGATTTAGTACACATTTTGACTAATTACTTTTGGAGGCCAATCGATACATCAAAGAAGTGTCGTATACCTCGGAACAAGCTTTGTACTAGTTTGTCGATCTAGAAAGCATTTGGTGATTGATTTTCCCAGAAAATGGATTGCTTTTCATACTGTCTAAAAATCAGCGAGGCAATAAATGAAATGAAGTTACGTATCGTCTCGTACTATAGCATAAGTAAAAATTAGCACCGAGCACTATGTATTGAGAAGTCTGTGCACATGAAAACGTAAGACTCCCTCTGCAACTGCTGCTTATGGGTAGCTACGTCAGGCTGGCACATGTTAATTAGCATGAGTAATTTCAGTAGTTTAAGATAAACAGAGTGTCGCACTTTTTTCATATACACATATTTTTACATTTTATTTCACATTTTTATTTTACATGAACCGTCATGACATCTACTTTGCGAATCCCAACAGTTCCTCCGTTCAATTCATTTTCCTCGAGTTCATCATCCGCAATAGTTTTCCAACATTTAGCGTGATGCCTCGGCTTTTGCTTGAGGATTTCGCCTTCTTTATTAATGTCGTACAATGATGCTGGTCGAGTCAATTCTCGTTGGATTCTTTGGAGATAGCCAAGCTAAGGCGTTCCCACGTGGAGTGGCAGGGACCGTTGGGGCGGGGATCGAGCTAGCGCCTTTGCTTTCTGATCGACAGAATCGCTAACCCACTGGGCTACCCCGCCACCACATATACGTATGAGCTTCAAAATGTTGTTTTAATGATTAACACATACGCCAAAATATACTAAGTATATATACATGTAGAGGGCGCGTGTGACGTAGTGGTTGGAGGCGCCACTGTGATACGCACGTGGAATCGATCCCGGCGTCCATGGCCCACCAAGCGTTCCATCACTCCGAGATCAGCAAATTGGTGCCAGACTTCTTTGAGAGGATAGCAGCACTGGTTGGATACATCGGTAGGCACTGCGAGTCATTGTAAAGGTCAGATATGCACTCACCTCCAAACGATGCTTAATGAAGTCGAATGCATAGCACATCCCTCAGGGATTGATTAACGCCAAGAGCTTTATGCTTTATCATTTATATATACATGTGATAGAGAACAAGGTATCATATGGATATCGCATGAAGTGGACGGGTGTTAGAATACAAAAACTCAGCATTAGCTGCAAAACGCTTCCAAGTGCTGTTAACATTGTGATTGTGTAATGAGCTATAGTAATTTGTAATAAATACTAACAAGTAGTAAATAGTAGGGATACCAGGCATATCCCTAAAGCGATGTTACAAAGTCTCCTCTAAAATTCTGTCATGTTTCCAACTTCTCAATTCCTCTACTTATCTGTATTTATTTATCTATCTACAATTTTCGCCTAATGCATCAAAATCACATCCTATAACTGATATGAAGGAAGCCATCGCCCCATGCGGCGGCAAATTTGCATGTCGGGCGATATACGAAAAGACCACCAAACAGAGGAAACAGAGACAAAGTAGAAAATTCAAAGGAAAAACGCTGAACAGGAAACTTACTTTTGGTATCGGTAGGATCTGAGGTTCTGTGTCATCCTTGTATAGTGGAAAAAGAGCTGGTGAAAGAAAACCATTAGACGAAGCCTTGTCAGGAAGCAATGGTACCAACCGTGGACTAAGAATTCGTGAATTACCCGCCTTGTTAAAGGACTTTACAATATCGACAGCGCTCTTCAGAAAACCAGGAATAACCACCTAGAATTTACACACAGTGAAACAAAACGAAGCCAACGATGATGAAGATAGATGTGTAGAATTCAAAATGAAATATAAAGTACACGGTAGGCGCTCAATCCATCCAACATAACTCTTAAATGTGATTGAATGCATATTTTCCCTATGCAAATACTTATATAGGTCTATCAATGTGTCAAGCGACTGTTTTCATCATCCTAGATAAGATAAATACCGGGACCCCCACTCTGGAGCGATTCAGGACTTCCTTCACGCAACGAGTGGGGCCGAGCCAACGACCACATATCTATTGCAATATCCGTTCAAGCATTATACTACAAGCGCACAAAAGTGTGGTTAATTTCGAAATTCGACCACGCCCTTCATATGTCGAGACAGTTTATGTCTGATATGATTTAATTATGTAACGAACAGAGTTTCTTTTGTTCAGAAATTGTAATTCACTTACTTCATAACGGCTTTTAAGAGATTCACGACTTTCAAAGCGTCGTGTGTAGGGTTGTGGTTATTGGTGCTCTATAAATTCACGCCGGATTGATTTCTGGTTCATTCCTGCAGCCTGGACTAATCGGGGTTCCTATTTCTTCAGTTTCGGTAAATTGGCAACAGACTTGTTAAAAACGCTGGCTGGGTGCATACCAAAGTCACTGTATAGACAAGATATGTGCTCAATCCCCTCTATATTACGAATAGAGGCGAATGAATCGCACATCTATCACGACATGATTGCTGACAAACGCCTCGTCTTTTTTTAATGCTTACTTCATAGCTGTTCTTCTCGTCTTGCTTTGTATCCATAACTATATCGTAGATTCTTCTATTGTATATTTGTGCACCAGGCATTTTCTTATTTTCTTCCAGCTTTTGGTTTAATTCCAACATTTTTCTGTACGTGGTCGACCATCGTGTTGGTATAGTTGACAGCGAAACATTTGTGAACAGTGAAAGGAATAAATCCGACAGACGATGAACTGGGCTGGCCGTCGACGGTTCCAAGAGAGCCGGAGCGACAGCTTGTGTTCTAATCTGGAAAGAAAATGAACCAGCCCATAAAATGCATAAAATGAGGTAGTCTTATTAGTTACGAATTAAACAGTGCGATAATTTAATAACAAAAACTCGTGAGTAAGCCATAGAAACTTCGTTATCTGTGGAAGTTGTTGAATACAGTGCGGTAAGAAATGATTAAAAAAAATACCAAAAGGTTGTACAGCCTACTATATCGTAATGACCCTTACTGCGCAACACCTACCTCAAAAAAATCACTGTCCGATTTGTAAACGTGCGAAGTAACCAAACGATGTGGACTCCGTCTCAGTCTTGTTCTCCTTTTCCTGTACTTCATCACCTTTTCAGAAACCACTGACTGTCGACCTTTCCTCTTGAGACGAAGGACGTCCAATCGAATCATGTTTCTCAACCAAATTCGCTTCCTCCTCTTTTTCGCTAATGATTCGAATCTGATCAAGCAAAAGATTTTCTTAAGACGACCAGAAAAGTAGTTTTTTCGTCCACATTCTCGATTAATCAGTTCCATAGTGATTTTTTCGACAGTAACAATATCTTAATGATCTAAAGCTCGGAATACCTGGTTGTAAACTTGAGTTTGTCTAGCGATTCTTTTGCCTTTATAAGGCAACGTGCCGTTTCGGTGATATCCTTGGAGTGTTTTATTCGTCTTAAGCATACTTTTAGTTTCATTGCGTTTTCTAAAAAGCACTTCGTCAGGTCAATGGAAAAGAAATAGCTAAGTCTCACAAATTAAAATCCTTCAACATTTCAGTGCTCTTCCATGAAAAGTGGAATCAATCACGTTTTGATCAAGATCAATAGCACAGATGACCGACCTCGCTAACGACGATTACGACAAGGAGGAATTTAACCTAATCAACACATATGAATCTTATTAAATGACATCTGTTACGGACTTCAAAAGCATTGTTTTTGTTTTTTAGTTAAATTGCATACACACATACATACATGCATATATACATACATACATACATACATACATACATACATACATGCATATATACATACATACATACATACATACATACATACATACATACATACATACATACATACATACAACACACACACACACAGAGCTTTGTATACATACATGCACACACTTAATGCAAAGACGTAGAGACATTTGTAGTAGAACGAATTCCTGTTAACGCTTTGTATTTTTGCTATCAAAACAAAATGAATGGCAATTCTGTAAAAATCATTATCATACAATGTGACTCACTCACCACTGGTAGTTATATTTAGAACCTCCTTTGCCATTTGTGACAACAGAGCCTTTACTGAGAAAAGATACCAGTTTCTATGAATAATTCGAATCTTATCGAACTGTTTCCGATCAAGTGTTAAATATTTCAGATCGTCGATATTCCCCTTCTCAACGATACTTTCCTCAAATAAAAAGAAGGAACAGAGGCTAAGGTGTTGAAGAATATTTTCTGCTGAAAGTTTCCTGTGAAAACTTACCACTTTGGATAGCGAAGTAAATAGCAACACCAATGTAGTAAAGAACAGATTCATTCGATTATTTAGAACAAGATTTAGAAGCACACATTAACACACAGCAGATAAAGATGAAGACGCTTAATAGATGAATCTTTCGTTACCGAGAGAGCCGTGTTGAATTCTTCCGATCCATTCAGAAGTTCTCGCTTTCGTTTTGTCACCGATTACTGACATAATTTACTATCACACCCGCTCTTGCCGATTTTATTCTCGTTATCTGTCAAGCGAACTCATCCAACCAAAATAAACCGACTTTCTATTAACTTATGGGTTGTTCAATAGATGACGGCTACAGTCTTGGGCAGACTCGAAACAGTTAATATCAGGATCTATTCAACGCTGGCCGATGTTTCGGCTTCTTCGCACACTTCGAGGCTTGCAAAGGCCAAATTGGCACGCAATCTACTTAGCCAAACCATTTCGTAACTCAGACAAGAAAAACTCAATATGTAGCATAAAATAAAAATAGCTGAGAGACAGGCGAAACAAACGGCCCGCATGGTGTGGTGGTGAACGCGTTACTCCCCGGAAAGGACAATAGCGCGTTCGTTCCCCACCATAGACACCTGCGGTCCAGAGTTCTGCAAATATCTCAGCAACGTTGTGGTTGTATTTCAATATGTAGTTTTCAACCGCACAGTACTTCTGACATAATTTCTCTTAAACACTTACCGTTTTCTTCTTTCCAAGTCTTCCACTGACTTGGCGGAGACCAGACCCGCAGCGATAGGTGAGGTGCCTGGTTCTGCTCATAAAATCAACCTGAGGTATATGATGAGGTCAGCCGTAATTACAACGCACTCCTCCATGCGGTTCATTTCTGGATTTTAGAATTCATTCAAAACACTTCAAAAGTGCTACGCCCTGATGTTTTAGATTCATGTGCGAGGATAGTGACATTTACTTCAAAACCTCCATTATCTCTCTGTGTCCATTGCGTGCCTACTGAAGTGTTTGGTTTCGCTTTAAATTTACCGACAATGTGTTGTTCTATGCGGACACTCAGTTATCCAGCCATTTCGCCATTATATTCGACCCGCTTACCTGAACTCATGCAGTCACTGTCTCAACCTTTAGAGCAAATTATGCAATTTTGCAATGTGCATAGACGGTCATGCGAAATGTTACGAACTAGTTGACTTTTTAAAGTGTTTGGTGGTATTTCAGTTACCGCTTCCAATTCCTCTACTTCAGCCATTTCTAAGCTTCCCTTTGTAACAGTGCTTCATTGAAGATAAACGATGAGTTAAACGTGGCCTTGTTCTTTCGACACTTTTCGTTTGAAGGCTTCGCATATCCTCTAAGCTTATCCTGAAAGACTACCATTTCGCAGCCATTACAAATGACTGCTTATCGCCTCAAGTTCAGATGTCACGATCATTCAATTGTTAGTGGATCACAATGTCTTAACTTTTATTTAGGACTAATTGTTTTTTCATAGCATGGTGCAATATCAAATAGAATCATAAGGATACCGAGATGTGAGCAACTTTTACTCAGTAAAAAACATGGCAAGAGAAAGGCAAACAAGAGCCTCTCTCGGTGTAGCAGATAACACGTGATCCCCGGTAAAGAGAATCGTGGGTCCAAAGCTCAAATGAGGTCAGGATTTTGTTCATATCTCAGCATCCTTGTGATTCATACTGCATCATCTACGTAACGTGTTTCCAAACAGTACGTACATGACTCACGAGCCACCTGAGTGTTGAAACTGCTCACTCTTTAAATGACTCGGTAAGTATATCGAAAGAGGTTTAGCTACAGGGCAGCCACTGGCCTGCCATTGCCATCGGCTCTAAAGTTGGAGACCTGTACTTAGTCTTTGGCCACTGCTCTTTTGCAGGTGTATCGACGACTGTTTTGCCATCTTCTAAACATAGGAAGAGATGGACAAATGTTTTCAACTACTAAATCAACAGAGTACAAAAAAATCACCCGAGAGAAGCCGAAAGCAAACTGGCCTTTTGAACGTTCATAATAATCTATCCAAAAACGGCTGCATCACAAAATGGTGCTGAAAGCCAAGTAGCAAAAGCATACTAGTTCATTACCTCCACTTTCACCCTTCACACGCTAAAACAGCGCTTGTCAAACCACGCTTTGAACAGCCACAAGTGTGAGCGAACAAAAAGACCAAAAGAAAGAAGAAATACTTAATTTTTTCCTTTGGAAAATAATCATTTCCAGTGATTACGAAAACGTAGCTCCTTGGGATTGGTTTAAAGGTAGAACAAATCCCGTAGACGATAAGTCGTGCGAAAACGACCTCCCGTTTAATCTGCTCGTTATCTTCAACGATGCAAGCACAGCTATTAGCGATGCTTTTTAAAAAACCGCTCTAGAGAATTTAGTAGCAGTGAATGAAATACAACCGAAAACGAAAAGGACAGCTAATTCATGACTCTTCTATGACCATCTTTGTACAAGACAAAATTCTATAATTCGCCCTAACAGTAGAAACAGCGATTGCATGAGAGCGGGTACGGCATATTTGATTTATTGTAAAGCATTTGGAGATAAATACGTTAGACGAAGCGGCAGAACACTTTGCACCCGTATAAAAGAGCACCCAATTGAAAAACTAAGGCCAACTAAACTCTAAACTAGGCATGCAGTGGGCACAAAGACATAACGCAAAAAATTTTTATAAAAAAGTCACTATCCACGCACGAGAGTCCAAAACACCAGATTAGCGCTTAAAACTCTTGGAGTGGTCTGGATAAATTCCAAAAATCCAAAAATGAGCCACAGAAACGATTGCCTTGCGATAACGCGTGATCCCTCACCACGTCACAGGCCGACTTTTTAACCTGAGCGATGCACACTCCTCGCCCATGCTCTGTGAAGGTGGTCTACATCAATCAAGTAGAAGACGTGCAAGGAACAAAACTTTCTATATTCTGCCCTCTATAATTTTAATGGCAGGGTATTAAGCGAAATACAACCACAAGATTGCTGAAATATTTGCAAGACTCCGGACCGCAGATGTCTGCTGATAGCAGAGATCGATAGAACTAGCTGAGAGACGGGCGAAACGAAGGACCCTCATGGTGTAGTGGTGAACGCGTTACTCCCCGGAAAGGACAACAGCGCGTGTTCGTTCTCCACCGCATACACCTGCGGTCAGGAGTTTTGCAAATATCTCAGCATCATTGAAGTTATAGGGTTCAATGTTGATTTGTGCGTGATTGTACTTCACATTGTACCCTGCCACAGAAGAATAGACAGAAAATAAAAGTTTAAACAGGGAGAATGATATAGTTACAGAATAGAACTTGCTCCACCACACTATAAGCAACCGTGATATAAATGCTGCTATTTACCATTAGTTACTAAGATAACAATGTTGCAGACACACTGTTGTTAGCGTTCGCAAGTGTCGCCACCTAAGCAGGATGGATGATCACTTAGCGTTATTGAACGCGCAGTCGAAAGCATGACGCTAGGAGTGTCCCGCGTCACTCAAATGAGGCAAGGGATCCTAAGCTCTGACATAAGTCAGCTATCAAGTATCACAGACGGTGTTTTATATGCAGTACGGGCGAAGATTAGGTGGACCGAATACGTCACCCATATCAACGACAATCGATTGAAAAGAGCCGTCAGTGACTAGATTCCAGTGTGCATTAAACGTACTGCAGGAAGACCACCGACTCGATGATCAGAGTTCTTCAAGAAAATCCTGGTGAAAATTATGGTGCTCAGCGAGTCCTTAGAGCGAGCAGAACCCACTGGGCTTCTCTGATTGATTCCGGACAGAGAAAAACTATGGAGAGATTTATGCGCCCCTTCGAGTCGCTCGACGGTAAACAAGACGATGGAGCTAAACGTGATAAAGGTGGTTCGCTTAATGAAAGAAAATAGGACAACCACTAGATCCCGCCATGATGTGGAATTTATTAGGGAAAGGCTCTACATAAATCTTTTCCACATCGCAATTGCCTTCTCAAACCTCAAAATCCCCACTGATGAAGAACTTCCAGTGATTCTACACTCTGAAGTTCGTCTTGCGATAGAAAGCATGAAGACAGGCACAGCTCCAAAACCCGCAAATATGGTGGCCAACCTCGTTAGAGCTGGTGGCCACGAATTACATGTGCTTATCGCAGCCCATCATCTGTATCACCTGTAGTCTCGTTAATCGTCGATTAACTCGCATGAGCGCCAGTAAATCTTTCATTTTTCCATATTGCGTGTAAAAGTAGCCCAGTGGGTTCTGCTCGATCCAGGGAATCGTCGAGCACCATATCTTTTTCAAACGCCTTTCGTGAAAAACTCTGACCATCGGGTCTGCGGTCTTCCTGCAGTGCGTTTGACATCCCCATGAATCCAGTCACTAAGGGCTTTTGTCCATTGGTTGTCATTCAAACTCACCACGTGTCCGGCCCACCTTATCTTCGACTATTTGGGGTACAGAACGGCATTTTTGGTTTTTGATCGCTGACGCGGGTCGGAGCTTCGGATCTCTACCTTTACTTGCGTGATACTGAGATACTCCTAGCATCGTCCTTTCGACTGCGCGTTCAATAACGCTGAGTAATTTTTCGTCCTGTTTACGGAACGACCTCGTTTCTGATGCATACATTGACGCAGGAAGTACCGTTGAGTAGAAAAGGTGGGCACACAGTCGATACTCTTGAAAGCTCCCCAAGCCGCTCGTTTCCTTCTGCTCAGCTCTGGATCTAAGTCGTTCATGATGTTGACTTCCCGACCAAGACAGACATAAGTGGAACATTCGGAGATATTCGTTCCGTTGAGCGTGAATGGAGCATACGAAACCAATCCGTTCTTCATGGACACCATTTTTGTGAGATTTCGTCGAAGACCAATCTTTCCACAGATTTTATCAAAGTCGGCTAGCAAACGTTCGTTGTTATAAGGACGATGTCATTGGCAAAGCTTCTCGAAGGTGGTGGTCAATAACTTTGGCGAGATGCTATCGCCTTGCCTAACCCCGCTTCTGACGTCGACGTTAATATCGTTGTAGAATGGTGATATCTGGATGTGAAGTTTTTGTACAGCTCACGAAGAATCTTTGTGTTCTGAGTAGGGACTCTTTGATTATTAAGGGCTTCCATGACTACTTCTCTTAATTGAATCAAGGGCCTTCTTTAAACCAATGAAAGTGAGACAGAGCGGTCTTCCGTACTCTCGCGATGATTCAATGAGCCTTGTTATCGTGTGGATATGGTCCATCGTACTAAATCCTTTTCGAAACCCTGCTTGCTCACATGGCTGTCCCTCGTCCAGTGTTCTGTCAATCCTGTTTAGGATTACTTGAGTGAAAAGTTTTCAGACGACAGACAGCAAGCAGATTGGGCGATTGTTACCGATATCGTGGAGGTCACCTTTGTTGAACATTAGCACGGTCTTGTTGATCTTCCACTGAGTAGGGACCTTGCATTCAAACAGGTAAAGCGTGAACAGCCGAACCAGTGTGTTTACGAGAACTGGCGGAAGGTTCCTCAGGTGTTCTGGTCTTATCCTGTCCGGACATGGTGCTGTTCGATTTTTAACCGATGAAATGGCATTTCGAATTTCGGAAGGGAGAACCGGTGGTACAACATATCCATCCTCCTTTATTTCATATGACGGAAGGTGGACGTGGCTATCGAGGAGATCCGAGTAGTATTCGCGAATGATTTTCTCCATTGCCTTTCTGGACGCTGTAACTGCTCCGTCTGGGCGTCGGAGTGCAATCATTTTGGTTTTGTAATTGGCGAAGCTACGGTGGGCTTTGCAAATGCTTTTCCCAGCCTCTTCATCTTCGACCATTACTGCTGCTCTTCTCTCTTCAAGATCTTCTTTTACCACCTGTCTGCACTGTTTTGCAAGTTCAGACGTTACTTCGCGGTTGCCTGCCACTCGTGCGATTCCACGCTGGCGTACCAACTCGAGTGTTTCTGGAGGCAAACGTCTCTTGGTGACTTTCGAGCTCTCAGCTTTCATAGCGCTGATGTGAAGACGTTGAATGAACCGCTCGTATTCTTCGTCGATCTTATAGACAGAGGAGGCATCTTCCCAACAGCTCGCTAATGAGCTGGATAAGTCCGAGTTTATAGTGGTTTTAACACTTCGTTTTCTGGATTTAGTGGCTTTTCTCCTTTCTGCGAGAAATGGAGTCTGGCGCGAAGAAGGCGGTGGTCTGATCCCGTGCAGAATTTTGGGACAACAGCGACATTGGTTAGGCAAAACCTATTTACTATGAAGTGATCTATTTCGTTATGACACTCTCCATTGGAAGGCTCCCACGTCCCGCGTTGAGGGTGCGGCTTCTGGAATTGCGGGTTACCATGGATGGTCTTGGTCGTCATGATAAACTCAGACAGCCATTCACCTTGTCCGTTCCATTCTAATCCATGGGTCCCAATGTAACGTTCCTCAGACGATCTTCTTGGTCCAGTCTTGGCCTTCAAATTTCTAAGGATAACCTTAAAGAATGCATGGTCTTCTCTGCAGAACTTTTCCAAGTCCATATAGAACAATTCGTCTTTTTCTTCGTCACAGCTCGACGTCGGCGCGTAAACGACGAAGACTGTCAAAGCCGGTATTGATCCGCATCTTTTTAATCGTAAACGTACGATTCGGGATGTACGTTGTACGAATGAATCGATGATCATGGATAAACTCGCGTTGACGAGAACGCCCACGCCGCCAACTCCTCTACTGTCGTATGTTCCGAGGAACAGTTCTTCGGTGTAATAGACGTCGTCGAATGAGTGCAGTCTCGCTTCGCCCAGGCCGACGAAGTCGTACGTTATCTTTCTGGCTTGCATGATCAAGTCTTCTACCGAGGATTCGGATGCAGGTGTATGTTCATTGTAGGTACAGATCGTCACATTAAGTCTTCATGATCCAGGCAACTTCGATTGGCCCTGAGATTTTAGCAGTCTCTCCGTATTCGTCCTACCCAACGCTGCCAAATTGGGGCCTCTTTCGGGGTCAGGAGAATGACGCCCGTTCCCTTCACTGTGTTAAGCATTTTGATACCCACTTATGGCTTGCCAGTCTCTGCCAGAGTAGACATGGACCTTATTTCTTGGAGGCGACTTCTCACCGCCTCCAGTCACCCCTGACACTTGATTGCAAGCTTTTGGCCGAATTAACTCGTAGAATACAATCCGCATAAGCGAAAACACACCCACGCACGCATGTATAAATACGCCTCAAATACAGAAAGGATGTGCAAAAACAGAAACAGGTAGTCTACCACTGGATCCACCTGCTTCTCAAGGAAACATACGGTAGCATTTGGCCCGCGATTAACCCACTATCCGGTACCTGGGGACGCGCCATGTAGCCTCACCACTAACTAGTTCGAGATCTCTCATATGAGGGACCTCCGTTGTTACAACCCTTATGACATCTTAACTTCTGAAGAAAAAAAGCCAGACTACTGGAGGACTTCGTGCGCGGTCATCATACCCAAGAACGGTGACGGAAAGAATGTTGCTAACTAGCGTAACTCGTGTCAATTTGGCCTTTTCAGGCTTAAGGTGAAACCGCTGAAACGTCAGCCAGTGTTGTTCTGAATAGATCTTGTTGTTAATAACCTCGTGTCTGTTCGTCAAGAAAACAGTGGATCATTGGAAAACATATATCTGGCTGATGAACAATTTGTGAATTCCATTTTTATTTCAGTTAATAAGATTCACAACTGTATAGATATATTTGTTTAAAGGTGGAAATTCCAATTATTTCGGGATTCCAGTGCACTGAAATCATTGGGCAACATTACGAATATGTTAGATACTGCTGATTAAAATGACAAGATATCAAACTGTTCCAAGCACTGAACAGTTACCTGATGATAAAACACGTGGAAAGAACAATTCACACAAGTATGAGAGAAAGCAGCGCATTTTGTAGAACACCGGCAACAGAAATTCAGTAAGTACACTTCATTAAGTAGTTAAATAAGATCACGTATCAGCTTATACATGTAAAGCCATAATTCTTTTGTAATATAGTAGGCTGGTCACAAGCAAAGTGGATTGAGCACCAACTTCCACATAGCTGACTTGAACTTAAATCAATGGTTGGTTCTCCAATTTTTTTGCAGGAACCACTGTGACAACCTGCTTACTAATCGATTTCGTTCGAAATGTTACATACGTGTACAGCACACTACCCATAACACTGAAAACTGATATAAGGAAAATTTAGCATTGGGAAAAAATCGGAACTACAAATGATTCTACCTAACGTTTATGCCAATGAAATTTGTCCAATGGAATATATAATCACCGCTTGAAAACATTCCAGCATATGTGACGAACAAATTCTGGAAATCTCATTGTAGCTGCACTAATGTTTCCTTGCCAAGAATAAAAATGAAGGTTTGAATAAACAAGTAAGAAAAAGGATATGGATATTCCAGCTGGTATCATGCATTAAAAAATTTCATAAAGTGGAATCATTTTCCTACACAAAGAACTAGTTATACAACATATATGAAAATGTAAAACGTTGTTGCGACCGTAGCTGCGCCTCCCAACGGTTTACCGCCTCATCATGGCTGTGTGTTACTTGTGTTACTGGGAGTCGGGGCTGTGTGTTACTGGGAGTCGATGTAGGGTGAAGGATTCATCCTCCAGCAGGGCCTCCCAAGCTGAGGAGTCCGGCGTTTCCATCAGGTAGCCTAGCTAAGAGTAAACCAATACCAGGATCCACCACCGTCCTGGTATCAAAGCTGCATGCTGGCAAATCTCCCTCTGCTCCACAAGGGCTGCGACTGCCTGTGGTGGTGACGAGCTGGGGCGACTTTGGCCAGGCTGACCTCGGGACTCCAAAGAACCATAATAATGGCTTAACCAGCAAATCTCCGAAAAATGGTGATTATGCTGGGACCCGCACAACTACTGAGGACGGGTTGTTCAAATATCAAGTAAGTTGCGACTTTATAATTTACAACAGTAGCTCCTCTCAACTAGGTGCTCAAGTGACGTCCTTACTGTGATGATATTAAAAAAGCAATCATTTTTCACGCAATATCATTTCGGAAGACAAGGTCAAGAAAACTATTGCAATGCGTACCTTTATGGGTCCCACACACGTTGTCGTAAGAGCAGAATTGAAATGTGTACACAGAACTAAGGAATAGTTAAGGATGAAACCACATACACACGAAATGAAAAAACAGATCCAAATGCTGGGAGTCATTTCGCCTGACAGCATGAAAAGGATCGCCTGAACATTAAGATGTTTAAAAGAGATCTCAGAAACTCTGCAAACACGAGGTCTATGAAGAAATCACCCGATTCGTATCACCAGTATAAGAAATTAGTACAAGTGTGGGAATTAACATGAATAAGGAATTGTAAAACATTAAACCGTATCTACCCAACTCCTAAATAAACTTCGATTAGATTGAAAATGGAGAAAACAAAGAGAACACAACAAACTTTAGCCTCGAGCTTTTGTTTAGTATAAACGCCTAGAGCAGCCGTACAGATGTCATTAAGCAGAATAAGTGTATAACCCCAAAGATCGAAGGCAAGATCAAAATACGCCGCAATGATTGAACCTGCGATCATTAAACCGACGGCAAAGCGGACGGCTCGCGTAGCACTTACACTGAAATCGAAATTTAATCAAATGTGCTGCAGTCTTTAACACTACAATAGGTCTTCCTATAAATACGACTCAGCCAGCTACTTTAAATAATGAAGAATCAAACTTGTTTAATTTTCTTTTTCTGCACGAGTCCTGATATCGCAGTTTCTCAAAATTAAATGACTGTGGATATGTGCAACAACACACATCTAAACTGTAGTAAAGGATAAGAAGGATAAAAGTGCTCGGCATTGATCAATCTCTGAAAATGCGACATGCATTCGACTCCAATCATCTTCGAAAAGAAAAAACGCATATTCAGCCTATACAGTGAGCTGCGGTGGTACACTGATGAATAAAGTCAATGCTGTTATTCTCTCAGAAAAGTCTGGTACCATGTTTCTGATCCCGGAGCAATGCAAGGCTCCGTACTCCCAGGGTGCCAGATTGAACTAACGACCAAGTGTGCATTCCATGGCACCTCTAACCATTGCGCGCGCTTCATTCCAAGCTATAGTAGAAACTTTAGTAACATACGATAAATCAGAACAACCAATTCAAATGTCAAAAGAATCATGAGTTTTAAGAAAATGCCATCGGCACTGGAGCAGAATGCTACAAGTAGGTAGGCAAGGACTAAACTTACCCCAATATATAATATTCGAGCGCCATTGTCATTAATATAGAGAAGCGCCTCAGTACAGTGAACATAGGCAAGCTTAAAAATAACATCATCAGAATCAGAAAGACAATATTAGTACATAAAAGAAAACTGAAGTCTGATACAACTATCGTTACTCTCACTTCTGATTCTCTTACTCGACCTCATGCACAAGTCTTTGAACCTTGACTGACTTTATTAATTACAATTCCAAGATAACAGCTTTATGATGCTGGGACGATCTAATCACTACCTCCAGTAAGGCAATAGAGGTGACTCATGACGCCAAAGCCGGATTATTCGATAGCCATGCCCACATGCCTCCATACCTCCAATTCATGTTAGGCAAAATATTTCGCAACGACACGTATTCATTCCGATATCTATCTTGCAGTATCGTCGTTGGAGAACCACACAAGACCTGGTCCCAATTCGAACATCCAAAATACGATTTCCGTTAAATGAAAAACAAGGAAGACCGTGTTGCTGTACACGAAATGGTCTAGAACGATATCAACCAATATCGCTCAAATAGCCTGCTCTCTGCCCACTAAAACCAGTGGTTCAAATGAAACAAAAGCTCTGTTCTGAAGAAGGCGAAACCGCCGAAACGTCAGCTATTGCATCTCAATAAAATCTATGATAACAACCTCGCGTCTGCTTCTTGAAGAAACACATCGAAACAGAAGCAGTTTTGAATACTCCCAATCTGCTTAGCATATAAGGATCCCTTATGAGTTATATGTCAAATGCACATCGAGAGTATTATTCTAGGACAATATCACCACAAACGCAAAGAAAGCGATTCGCCAAAGCCATACCATCTCTTAAAAATTATTTTGCGGCCACTTTCGATAAAGTCATCTGAGAATGGAACGCAATAAAATGCAAATGAATATCGGTGGCCGGTAGCTACACTACCTTCACCTTGTTTAAGATATCGCTCTGAAAACAACAAGCATTGGCTAGGTGGACCAAATTCCAGCCACTTTCGATAAGTGGTATTCGGTTTAAACTCCTGAAAACAATGTCCATGGAAAAAAAGGATTTTTTTCAGACAATTCAGAAATTTTCAAGGAAACAAATATCTTCAAGTGCTTCATCCCTCCCGATATGTATAGATCTGTTGGCGAGTGAATATGACAAATGATTTGATTTCAGAGTTGAGCAGAAAAAAAAAACAAACTACTTTGAGAGTTTACAAAGAAATCGAACACTTAACGAATGGCACGAAGAACAACTGGCACCCTGCCTAATTTTTGAGCATAAAACTCTTCCCAATGTAGAACACGTCTCAGAACCTGGACGCTACGTGAACAAGAGCAATCAACGTTATCGAAAGCGTCATTGAAAGATTGACGTAAAAGATACCCCGTATCACGTACAAGTAAAACGCAACGCACGACACGACTTAACTCCAATGCATACGGTTCGAAAACAATGCCCGATTGCAAGTTATTATAATTTTTAGTGGTTGAGGCAGAAATCGCTAGGATCTGTAATCTCTGCCAACAGGGTGCAAGTATTCTTATTCTATTAAGGTCAAATCCCATTATTCTAGAGCATACGAAACGTAGGTCTTTCATTCTTTTCCGTCAGGCTCGCATATTGATGTCTACCTCTTCTACGATTGCATTTAAAGTGTCACAGTACCTGTTTTGTTTTCAATTCTTTGAAAACATACCTGCACCATCTGTATCGAACTTGAAAACTAGAGTTGTAAAAAAATCTTAATTGAAAGGATATCTTTAAAAAAAACTGTATACGTCATTAACAAGACAAAGCAAAGCCCCTTCTAGATCTGTGAAGTTCTCAACTCCTCAAGTACTCCAACAATCAAGTAAACAAAGTCATTTATCGAAAAGCCTGCATGGGGCGTTAAGTGTCAAAGAACAGAGAAGCGCATTCATGAAGATACCAAGTAGGCCTTAGCATACATAGCACGAGATGCATCTTGACGGCGGCAACCGATAAACGAAAGCTGTTAGCCAAAGGATAAAGCTGAAGCGCATAGCCGCATAGCAGGGAAATCACCGAACAGAAGGCCATACTTCTTCACCAGAACTTTAGAAAAATATGAAGCTCATCATCGAATTACATGAACAAGCAAAGCTAAATGGACTGAACATGAATGTGACAGCAAAAAAAGAAACTCTGCTGGCGTCAGCTCGAGTGACACCTTTGACGTCGAAACGGAGAGAAACGAAGATTTCGACTGGTCATTCCTTGCAAGACATTAAAAATACTTCAGCTCAACTACTTTAACTCACTTGATTAATTGCGTCCCACCAAGTCCAGATGCTAAATTCAGAACAAACAATACAGGAAGAGGCATAATTTTCCGCGATATAGAATAGTCAAATGAAGGGAACGAAATTATACGTAGAGATCGCGCCAAGAATAATACAACAACAGTTGCTAGCATCTGACCAAATCCAACAAAAAGAAATGACGGGAATCTGAACAAGATAAAAGAAGAAAACGATAGCAACCACGATTCTCTCGTTACTAAAGAGAGAACGACTCACCTGAGATTGGTTAGTAATATTTTGTTGACGAACACCACAATAATGGAGCTGACTCCATAGAAGAGAGCCGCCAAAAACCGTTTCCACAAAGCAGTATTTTCCATCAGCAAATCAAAGAAGCAAAAGTTCAACCAGTTACTACAAATTTAGGAAAAAAAAACCAGGGATTTGACCGTATTCGCAAACAAAGCTGAACAATTTCCGTGTGCTTTTACCATGCGCGATGTGATCCTCTACATGAGGGCATCATAATAAAATGATAAAGCAAAGATAATAATGAAGTCGGAACATACTCACTAAACATAAACCGATCATCCAAGTAATGAGGTGAAATCACATGACTGAGTGAAAACCCAAAGATTGCTGGAGCTCTCATTCAGAGTTATACATATTACTAGTCGAAAAACCCTCTCTTCACATTTGAAGACGATCTTTGAAGAGCAAAGATAGATATGGAGCTATTTGAGAATAAAGCTTAAAAACTCGTGAGCTCTCAAATAAATGATATAAGGTTTAAAACTATGGACTAAGTAGTGAAGGACAATAATAACGGTTGAGGACTAGATAAGGCAGGTAATCAGAACATAACCATACATCGATGACAACAACGGATGTGAAAACAAGGACCCTGAGCGATGATTATTAAAGAACAACGAGGTTGTGTGGACTTGGAACAGTAATACTAATGCTTTCGACCAGAGCAACGTACTTATGAAATAATACATGTAGCAGTAGAAAATTATAGCAATGGTACTCGATAAGATAGCACGTATCTGGATCCTTAATGGAATTGATATTCTCTAAAGCAAGAAAATGTCACAATGTGAAACTCACGACAATCCACGGTCAAGGTTCGGTGAACAGTGGAAGGAGTCACGAGTTCACTCACTGCTTCGGACACATTGTTTAGCTTCTCTATGGACTAGTTTCAAACACAACTGAGATATGTTCTTCACAATTTCAAACTGTACAACTTTACGAGACGTAGATGAGACAAGACCATTACTTAGAACATTCATTCTACACAAACCTAGTAAAAGATCTCAATCGCATCTGCTCTCGATACATTTAGCTACACCAATTAAAATCGGTACTTTAACTTAGGAACGATCAATTTGATAGCGAGAAAGCCAGGAAAAGTTAGTCATAGACTTGAATATCAAACTTGTTCGTCGAGATATTCTTCAAATCACACAAGGCCGTATGTTAGGGAAGGGTCAAGGTTGAAGTTGAACTCATTTAATGAGTCGAGCAGTCTTGACAGATATGTTAAGTGCGACGGTGTACGGAGAAAGGAGGGCTCGTCATACAGTTGTATTGTTACTGGTGTCCACGCCATCACTTGCAAAAAGCCGGACAGCATGTGATCTCTGGAAGACGAATACGATGAGTCGCTAAGTAAGCGAATAAACATCTTCATACATGAAAACAATTTTTAAAAACACGAAGTAATAACCGTCAAATAATTTTATACACAATATATCAGGAGTAAATCCACTGAACAATTCTTTATGTTCTTGTTTAGCAAACACGAGGTGCTATTTTACTGCTTTATTGACGCATAAGCTGACGTCTCGGACGATTTTGCCTTCCTCAGAGTCGCTGAGTTCCACAAAACTGGACATACTACCGCAACCTCTAAAGCGATTTGCGATAAAGCAGTTTATGAGTCCTGTGAAAGGGTTGTGAAAGAACGCAACGCAATAATCAATGAACCGATCATCTCACAGGAAAGAAGAAATCGTCTAGTAAAACATGAATAAAACTAATTTTTAAGACCAGACTACGCAAACAGGAATGTCATGTCGAAGCAAGAGGTATAAGCAACAACGCCTCACAGTCTAATCTGACTCGATTCGGGTTCAGCCTTATTTTGACAGACCAGAGTACAAATGTTAGCGTTTGATAAATGTAGCGCAGTCGCTCTTATATGGATTATCTACACGAATCGCGCGACATCATATCTCTGAGGACATTCTTTATCTCATTAGACAGAAAGTGCGTACTTAACTTAGTTCTCGATTGTCGAATTTTTCCCTGCTTCCTTACCAATGGGCGCGTGTGGTGGAGTGGTCGGAGGTATACATCCTTCCCTGCAACACACGTGGAATCGATTCCCGTGCTCTTGGCTCACCAAGTCTTCTATCCCACCGGGATCGGCAAATTCGTACAGACTTGTCTGAGGAGAGCAGCAGTGGCTCGATACATCGGTACCTTCGAATTTTTCGCGTGTGGGTTCGACTGCTGCTCGGAGATTGTCGTTTCTCCTACAAATGTCGTTCAATGCTGGTTGCGACGATTCTACCTGGAGTCTTGGGATGCCCAGGTTGGACCATGCCCACCTAGACCGCAGATGTGACCTTTTCCTAAAAAGTCTGATATCGATTCCTCGACTTCGGAGGGTTGGTGGGTTGGTGAACCTGGTGCAGGGTCGAACCAGCACCGTGCTCACGATGAATGGCACCACTATCACTGCACTAGCTCTTTGGAGCAGGTTAATATGTGCGAAATATAAGGCTGCCGTTCCATTTTGGTGGAAGTAAGAAAAATATGAAGTATTAAAACAAAATCTTTCAGCAACACCCCATGTATAATGTCTAAAAAGAACGACAACCGTACCTTACTGTTAAAAGGATGAAAACGTGGAATTTAGCATCCTTTCCAAGAGCGTTACGATCTGAGATTCGATGAACAAGTCTCAGCGCATGTGTAACAAGCTCACATTGCTCACGTGACCACTTCGTCTCTCGACGTCGCAACAGATCCATTAACCAGCTGCATACTTTCTCTAGAGTAATTAAAAACTTTTACCGTGCTCTAGAAACCATCACATTCAAGCGTAAATCGCTGGAAATACCTCATACCCAGCACACAATGAAAACAAATCTGAAACGACAATGCGAAACAACTATTGAAACCTTACCAACATAGTCCCATGGAGATGGCTGTCGAAATGACCAAACAGAACTATATCGTCCAAATTGGAAAGCCTACACAGTGAAAAACATAGAATGACATAAAAATTCTCTAAGCACAAAAACTGGTTACGAGGCAAAGTTTTACACAATTCACTAACTTTCCAAAAAATTAAACTTCACCTACTTGCTCAATAGCATTAACAAGACCATGTTCACCACAAAGAAGATGGGCCAACTCGCTTTTGGTGTGTTTTTCACTGTAAAAGTGTTTGACTAGAGAATTTACGGCTTCACCAAGAATCTGCTGGATTTCTGTGATTTGTACCTCTGAAAGCATAACTTAAAAGTTCTGCTGGAGTAATGCACGCTTACTTCTTTGACTTACTGCGGTTTGGTGTAGTCTCGTATGATCGACTTTGTGATGGACTACGCTCCCGCTGAGGAGTTTGACTACGCGACGACATACGACCTCTTCTAGCTCCTCTAGCAGGTGAATTTGACGAAGCACCAAACGTGAAGTCAGCATTACCGTCGTCACATACAGGTTCCGCCACCAAAAGCCTTTCAAAGTAGCAGATATAAAAGCAAATGACATGGAAAGAAAAAGCAATAACAACCTTTCGAGACTAGCATCACATGCGTTTCCAAACCAACGACTATCTTCTACGCCCAAACCAAACCAACGACCGCAAGGAAACCGGTACATTTGCCCTGTGACCTCGTTACGAACGATTACCTTAGAGAAGATAATGATAGATTACGCAAAGCAACGGCTGCTACAGCGTTGCTACTACAGCGTTATTTTTTCCTATCTTAGTACCAGGAATGGTGTGATAGCTTAGTTTTAGTTTGCCTTGAAAAGTACCACAACACAACTCGGAAACCTAGTTTTTAGAATGACAACTTATAGGACAACACATCTAGAATGAATTTCAGCTATTTTATAACTCTCTGCTGGAACTTTAATATTCTCGCTACCACATGAGTTATATATGGCTCAAATATGATCTAAAATTATCGAGCTTTCAAGCTTTGATCTCAGCCCACGGTGAACTACACTATATAAATAAAATGACACATCTTCACACGTCGCACGGGATTAACACATCTTCTACAGTTTCTTTGTCATTCCACAGTAGAAGTTATTAGCTTCTAGGTCCTTCTCTTCCCACTGAAATTTCAAATGTTGATCAAACATAGTTGTCCCTTGAATAATGAGATATTAACGCTGCAGCGTTAAAACATCCTTAATACAAGCTATCTCTTGGCTTCGTGGAGAGACAACGAATCGCAGTGATGAAGCGCTGGAGCTCGCTCGACCTGTACGATTTATCTAATTACCTAATCTAAGAGAACCACATGGCCCTTCCTTGAGGAACATCTCTGTGGAACATTGCAGCTAACAAGCTGTCAATGTGAGCGGCTGTCATGATTCCCTCGCAAATTTTAGAATAACCATTCCAACCTAATTCGTTCTCATGGTGTGAACCCATCTTTTGGGTGGTGAGCGACGTACTATAGTGATCAGAGCTGCCCTTGCAATAGATACGTGGACGTTGCTTGGGCCCTGCGTACCAAGCTCACCAAGCGCTCTATCTGGAAGGGTGGAAACACTGTTTCGATATATTGGTAGACCACTAAAAGTAGTTGTATATCCCAAATATGCGTTCAGCCAGCTCTAGTAATGCTCAATAAAGTCGAATGCACAGCGCATATCTTACGGATTGATCAACATCGAATGGCTTTATCCTCTATCCTTTAAACACATTTACACCGACGTTTCGACAAGTTTACTTTTATGAATTCAAACTTAGTAGCACTGCAGCGCAGACGGCTCTAAACATTGATAAGGTATGAGGCCAAGGAAGGGTTAACGAATGCACCTTGAGACGATGGTCTCAGAAATTCCATCGTGGCAAATTCGACGTTGAAAAGGATTGTCGTGAACATATCTCTCCTACTGATAGCAACGAATTGAAGACTTTGGTGAGAATAAATACATGCTCAACTGTTCGAGAACATTCAGAAGAACTCCACGTAAGCATCTCCACTGTTAAGGAGAATTTAAAGATGGTTTTAAAGTCGCAAAAGATCGATAAATGGATGCCGTTCGAAATGGTAGCACGCCGCACTACCGAAGCTACAGGAGGTGAATGACCTGGCTACGAAACTCTGCCTCATCCACCGTATCTGTCCGACCCCTCCACATCAAGAACAACTTCCTTAATCTTCCCCATAACTTCACCTGTGTTCTTCAGAAACCAAACTGTCTTCAGCGAACTCACGCTTCCAGAACTCTATAGTTTTACGAAACTGGAAAAAATAAACTTGTCTCTCATTAATAAAGACATTCAGATTCTAAGGGTCTCTAAATCAATCAATAGAATTCATTCTGAGATGAGATACGCCATTTTAAAAACACAGGTTGCGATCTTGTGTCAATTTCGAACAATCTAATATTTCAGAAAAACCAGTAATGCGTAGTTTTCTTTCAACATATTTCTCACTGCTCAACATGATCGCGAATGTATTTATCTAATTTGGAAAACCTATCTTTAAAAATTACTTCAAACATCTTATTCACTCACATATTCCAAGTACCACTTCGGAGGTTTTTCATGACCAAGTGCATGACCTATTCGCAGTGTTGATAGAACACCAAGATTTTTATGCTGCAAGAGAATGAGCTCTGTTCTCAGATCTTTAGCACGCACTTTATTTTGCATGAAAACATTCACTAGTGAGTGTGAAAGAAGCGAAAACCCCCACATCAAACTTGAACAGTGGAGTATTAGCCGGCAGATTGATTTGAGGACTGCTGCATAAGCTGCCCCCAACCTGAAACAGTGAACGGCAAACCATTTCTATGCCAAAAAGTAGCGAACTTTCCAGAGTTTAGGAACAGAATGCCACCCACCGTGACCCACACAGGTGGAAGTGAACCTCTCCAATTTCCAGTCACAATCACCACCTGGTAGTCCATCTCTACAAAAAAAAAAAACGAAGTTTCTCAATTTAATGAATGAAAAGCTTTCTAAATAGAATCAGAAATGAAGTTCAAGTCATAAAAACAAACACACGAAAACACTAGCTACACAATAAAATAAAATAAGCATTTCATATCTATTGAAATGTTTTAAAAACATACTGGTCTTGTTAAAAGTATTAGTAAAGCAGCGGAATTGAGCAGCGTTGAGAGACAAAATGTGGTAAAGAAATTGCTCACGTTCATCTTCACAACGTACGAATGCGTATGGATTGTATAGCTCACTGGAAAACATCTTAATGTGGACTCGATTCTTGATAAGGGATCCAACAAAGCAAGGAAAATAAGGGAGGTTATTAAAGACCATTGAATTAGGACTAGCATGAGGAAACTGATAACTAAGGCAGGTCCGAAGAAATTATTCATAATCATTACAGTTAACAGGGCGGTTTTCGGTGTACATCCACTTGTTCCCTTTTCAAAAAATTGTTTTACAAAAAACTTCGAGGATAAAATAGCCCTTCGCGAAGATTTCTGTGAAAAAGCAATCACGGAACTCATTAAGCGCTGTAAGAGACAAAATTTTAAACCATCTTGATAAGAAATATAAAAATCCTAGGAAATTTTCGCTCATCAACAGAAAACCTTAAGCTGATTACAAGCAGTTACAAGAGAACTGTATGGAGTACACACCTTAACAGTTTCTTGTTTTCCAGTAAGGTCGCGAGATGTCTATGTAGTAGTTTTCGCTCAAGCGCAAGACGAACAAACGCACGAGCGTATCCAATGTCGGTTTTGATTTCCGTCATTCGTAGGACATTCCTGATGAAAAACTTACTAGTATTCATATGTACAGAAATCTAGGCAGTCCTAAAAACGCCGGAAGGAAAAAAAATAACTTAAGATCATAAGCGACGTGAGTAGGTAAAGGTGCCAACAACACCCGTGCACCCGTTTCAGGACTTCGTGGCCGACTTTGCGATCGTTTGCGAGGAGACTCTGTGATTACTGCATTGGTTCTGACCTCATCATTCCAGCTGGGATTTGAGAAGTCTAAACAAAGAAATATGGAGTGCTTAGCAACGGCGATTGGTAAAAAACAAAAGCAAAGCCCGGGCGAAGTGAGAAAAACTTCCGAAAATATAATCGAAAGTCGAACAATTCTCACATAATCGCCTGGAAATGGTGCTTGCAATAGTTGCTATTTCATGCACACTATCAACAACATAAGTGAAGTTTATCATGCAAAGCATAAAAGCTGCGTAGATGATGAGAATGTGAGTCGTAAGCTGTAGTGCAGTCGGAAAAAGAGCAAGAAATTCCGAATGGACGTGCATAGCACCACCGTTTATACCTACCGCCCACAGAACTTGACTTCTTCAGCATTGATTGAGCCTCCGTCCGTCGATTTGGAGTGAAAGTTGCAGAGGGCACTGCTTGGAGTCCTTTTGGCGTGTTTGTCAATTTATCAGCAAGGAAATTAGCAGCACGCAGAATTGATCGTGACCATACTGGGACACCTTCACCATCACCAGACCCAAGTTCTCGTTGGATTGTCTCTACGATCTCCGATAAAGCATCCGTGAAATCATTTTCATTCGCAGGCTGGATTATCACTGGGGCAGGAACTTCACAATGCGGAAGTGACGGTGTTCGCTTGATTGTACATCGCCGACCACCACCTGTCACTAACACAACTTGTTGCACAATCACAATACAGGACACAAAACAATAGTTATGATCAATAGTGAGCATAATATTTCAGATATCAAAGGAAATTCCTGAAAGCGTTCAATGAATTTTCCACTTCCTTTATTCATCTAAACAAAACTCTCTCTAGATCTAAAGAGCTTAAGAAGTTGTTCCTTGTTTTTCAAATTGACAGAGCTTAATTTGGATATTCAACAACTTCGTTCAAAACGATAACCTAAACAGCTACTAAATTAAAGTTGATGGTATCACACCTCCTAATCAGGAAAAAAAGCGCTACTGTCACATTTTCACATGTAATGTTTCCTCCCCCAGTCATTTTTTTGACATTCTTGGTAGCAGAATATGTACGTCAAAACAGAATTCTGAAGAACTGGCTTCTATTATGTCGGTAGAACACTGAAGAATAACTATGTTTGCATCCAACAAAAGCAATATCTTCAAACGGCCAGTAATTCGAGGTCAATCACAGCAGCTTACAGACAGTACTGTAAACATTCAAAACCTCACGTTCTAGACGTTTCCTGAACACCAGCCAGGCTAGAGCTGGAGCGAAAACTTGAAATTTCAGCGCAGAATATTTTAAAATTCACAACAAAGAATGTTACAGAGAACGATTTAAGTTGGTGGCGAATGGTAATAACAAAAAAAACTAAGGCCTTACCTGGAGTAAGCATAGAAGATGACATTGCCCGAGTTGAGAGACAAGTTTTCTCTAAATCCTGGTGTTGCAAGACAAAATTCCACAAGGATGACTTCCCCTGGAACGCTTTTGGGCTACAACTAATGCATTGCAAATTATATTTAACGTTTTATGAAACAACTTTTCACACACCCGTAACCGGTTGAATTATGTATAGTTCACAGAGGACAAAATAATAGCCGCTCAAAAGCTTAAGCCAACATATCTCTGCTTACAGTGAATTATGAAATGAAATATAAATTAGCTCTCTCAACGGATTACAGCCACATCACTGTTGGAAGATGGTCTTGGGTGTCGGGCTGCGATATACGGCGAAGGGTTTCATCCCCCAGCAGGGTCTCCAAAGCTGAGAAGCTCGCCGTTTCCACTAAAAAGCCCAGTTAATAGTGAACCAATACCAGGATCCACCACCGCCCTGGTAGCAAAGTAGTCGCATGGTGGTAACTCTCACTTTGATGAATAAGATTTGCGATCGCTTGTGGTGATGACGATTTAGGACAGATTTTGGCCATGCTGATCTCGAAACTCCAGGGAACAACAATAACTAAACCAGCAAAGCTCCAAAATATAGAAATTAGGTTGAAGCCCGCACAACCAGTGAAAACGGGTCATTCAAGCAACCAAGTAATCTAAATCAGTAGAATCGGCAAACGTTTCCAACTAGATACATGCTTCTTCATTCTGTTATGATGTAATGCTTATTTTCTGGAACCCACAAAACATTTCTCTTTTCGCTGACGCTCGTATCTCTGTTTTCAGAAGGTAGAGTTGTGCTAGGAATTTAAAAAAAAAAACCGTTTCAGCACCACAACTAATCTAGGAATCAATAAATTGATAGCAGTAGCCGAAAAAGCACTATGGTCGGGAAAGGACTAATCATCATTCAGAGCTAATCTAAAATTCCGGTAAACGTACTGGACGTAATTTCATTCTGGGGTGTCAGCTCCAAATACTGCAATTGGAGATCAGAAGACGCTCTTTTGAGATGAAGAGGAAAGAAAGACTATGGCTATAGCTCTTAAACATGAACACTTCATGTTTCTAAATCACGTTAAACTTCAATAATACAATGCAATACAAAGTTAGGATGTAGGAACGTTTTAGCCGGGCCGTCCCAGAACTCCAGGGATAGTTTACTTGACAATATTCGTAAACAAAGTGACAATCCTCAACCAACAGCTAGACTTATACGCGAGAAGTTCGAGTACCTTCCCACATGGTGGATATAAGGGAACAAATCGAACGGTAGAAATGCTGGGATCCTCAAAGTAATGAAAGTAAACTCGTGTAACAAAAATAAATGTACAAAATTTGGAATCGCTGGAAACGATGCAAGATGGGAAAAGAAGGAAGTGGAAGACTTGCACAAGCATATTTATAAAATTCGACACCTATAATCTTGATAAAGAAAAAAGCCTGCATAAAACCCCAGAAGCGATCATGTTACGTTTCCCATATTTAAAAGCTAGAGCTACTCTCTCCCCGCCCATCTCCCTCTGTCCACCCAAATAAAAAGAAAAAATAAAAAAGGTTGCTTTCTCAACAAATCACCTGCTTTTTGATGAGACCGTGAGCCCAAATTCTCTCCAGAAGATCACAGAAAGAAGCAACAAGTGTGTTCTCTTCAACTCCAGTTATACTAGCATCGAAATGACCCAACTGCACTGCTTCCTTTCCCATTTTGTCCACAAGCATGCGCTTTGTTTTCCCTGTGAGCCAATATTTCGACGAAATATTAAAACAGATATAAAAAATAATAATATGAAAAAACCCACCCTTAGTTTCACGCAACAGTTGGTCGACAAATTTCACTTGCTGCTGAGCAACTAGGGCAGGTGAATCACCTACTAGACCAGTAGTGCCACAGGTACTGACAGGACGTCCAGCAATACTGGCAACCTATAAAAAACCTTCACAAATCAAAGTTTCGTTGTCTGTGACTGCGTCTGTTAACAACAAAAAGAGACATACTTCCTGTTGTTTTGGACGCAAATGAGGGTAGCGTTGCTTCCAAGGGCTAGGCGCAGGGCTAAGTCCCATTGCGCCCTCAAGAAGAGCTGTATTTATCTGTTCTGGCCAAATACCATTATAACTCATCACCACAGCACCTTCGAGCTCGTGTGGGCCCGGGACAACATAATCCAACATTTCTTCTCGTTTCGATATCAATTCTTCTGCAATCAGTTACTAAAAAGATTTATTAGAACACTAGTGATTTATTAATGAAAACCAAACAAAGAATGTGTTATATACCAGTATGCGCAAAAGGTGGTGTTGACTCATACGTAGGTGTACGAACCATTGACAGACCGTGTTTCTCACGCATCATCGCAATCCGAGAATCGAAAAGCACAAGGTTTTCATCCGGTGTTTCCCATTGTGAGAGTATTTTTGCATCAATCAAAGAGGTAAACATCTACAACAAGTTTCGTTTGCACAAATTATAATTAGAATGGAAACAGACTGCACCAAATAGATGGGCCTCTCACCTGTGTTTCCAAAAAAGCTGCAAGGAAAGCTAAGTGACTGTCAGGCTGATCAGATAAAAAGGAGGCTTTGTCAAAACATACTAGACTTTCTCTGCAATGTAAGTTACCGTAGAAGATGACTAAGATTACTTCAACAATAACCATGTCGTTTATTTCTTTTTTCGTGAGCAGTTCACACCGTAGCTGAATCTAACCAACCTACTGTTATCATATGCCTCTCGATCTGAACACCCTTGGCCACCAACGACGAAATGTTCATATGAATACAGCATGCATACAATTCTGTTCAAGACACATTCCCTAACAGCGTTATTGAGCCTAGCATTCTAAATCAAACTTCTTGGAAGTGTTAATGATGTAAAAACAGATTGTATACTAAATTCCAACCTGAAAATACTGTTTGCAGTCCGGTGAGTCAAGATACTGACCTCTACATGAAATCTCTTGCTCTAAGTTTTGTACATCTATGACAACGCCAGCACGTCGCGCAATTTCAGCAACCCTCAAACATTGACTATAAAACACGTAGAAACGAAATGAATAACAAAAGATGTTACCTTGCCACAGCAGAGTTGTTCATCAAAACATTTTCAAGTGGTAAAGGAGTCAGATCAGAACGAGATGGACATGGTGAAAGCTGCACAGATTTACCTATAGGAGTAAACAACAATAATAATTCAAAAGACTGACTTGCTACAAACCTAGGCGTAGACAGTTGATATATTTATTTATACGCTCCTATGAACCGATCATGTCGAACTGATGCAGTTGGTAGTGGTTTTCATTGTGGTTGTTGTTGTGGGAGTCTCACTCGTAACAGCACGGCTCTGAGGAAGGCAAAGTCGCCGAAACGTCAACCATCGACCAACGACACCAACAACAACAATGACAACTTATACCAACCTTGCATCAACTTGATAAGACCAGTTCACAAAAACACAAAAATAATAATTATTATAATCGTCCGATGCATCGCGGAAGTTTTGACATGGCACTTTCCAATACTGTAATACTGAGAAATCCTCTCAACGGTTTATCGACTCATCATTGATGGTAGGTGTTCCTGGATGTCGGGCTGCGATGTACAGCTGGGAGACTCATCCTCTCGGGAGGGTCTCCCAAACTGAAAAAAAGTCCGGCGTTTCCATCAGGAAGCCCAGCTAAGAATAAACCAGTACCAGGATCTATCACCGTTCTGTATGAAACTAGTTGCACGGTGGCAAATCTCCCTCTGATCTACAAAGGCCGACGACGGCACGTGGTGGTGACGACCTGGGGCAGATATTGGCTTGGTTGGCCTCAGGACTCCAGGGGAGCACAATGGCTAAACCAGGAAGACTCTGGAAAATAGAGAATGTGCAGGGGCTCATAAAACCAGTGAGGACGGGCCGTCCAAGCATCCAATAAGACAAAATAAATTGTAACCCAATATAGAAACAATAAGAGCACTAATCATCAATATTAAACTTAAAATACATGTGATAGAGGAGCAATCCCCAAAATGTGGATAACCATTGTATTGCGCAGCCGAAATAATATTAAACTTACTAATAGCCTCGTCGATAGCATCGTCTCGATCAAACGATCGACTCATTCGTTTTGCTGACCACTCATCTGTTCTGCGATCACTGGTTGTACGGCTAGGTACAACAGCTGGAGAGCTATTCAATGAAGGTGTTGAACCGACAACGGTGGAGGGCGACATATCCTCCCATGATGAATACCTTTAACACTATCCTTTATAAACCACTGATCAGAAGCTTTATTCAGTAATCAACGAACCTATAGATTGCCGACTTAATCTCCTGACACAATTGTTTGGCTCCTGGAAATGATGGAAGGTCTTCGGGAAACTCCATTCGCCCCGTGTCGATGTCAAGGACACATACATTTGATTGGAAGAGAAATTCTGGTACGCTCTCTTCGTAACACCAACCCATTACGTAAGGCACCTTCAAAAGTATGCATTTCATTTTGGAAAAAAAAAAAACAAAACACGAATTGGGTAGAAGGAACGTTTTCTACGACATAGCCTCTCTGCACACTCAAAAAGGCTAGTTCCACTTCTAGAAAATAGAGGTTTGTTTACATCGATGTGTACCTTACATGCATCTACAAGCCAGATCGCCACTGGAAAATTTTTCCTACTGGTAAATGTAGTATTCGACAGTATAACATTGTAATACCTCTTTGGCAATTGTAGTAATACAATATGTGAGAACCTTTTAAAACGATAACAAATGGTAGTAATATAAGACGATAATCCTCTCAGTGTTAACCAATCCCTGAGGGATGCGCCAAGGATGACTTTATTAAGCAGTCGTCAGCCAGATGCGACTATAATCAGCTGTTCTAAACTTCCTCATTGGAAGTCACGAAAAAGCGGCTCTGAAGAAGACGATACTGCCGAAACGTCAGCTAGTGTTGTATTGTATTGTGCTTCTCTATGGAAGTAAATGTATGCTGTTTAAAAACCTCGCGATTGCTGAACAAGAAAACGACGCATTCATATTCCAATGCCGAAGTTAAGAGAAAGTCGATCCTAGGAACTTTATTAAGCATTGTTGGAGGTGATTGAATGCATATCTGGCCTTTACAATTACTCGCAGTGGCCTACCGATGTATCGAACCAGTACTGCTATCTTCCCAGAGAAATTTGGCACCAATTTCCCGACCCAGAGGGATGGAAGGCTTGGTGGGCCACAAACGCGGAGATCGATCCAACAAACGGTAGTTTTTTATATGGGTAGCTGTTTGCTTTACACACATCATAATACACATTTACTTCATTGTCATTGCTCTTTTGGAACAGAAGGTGAATGACACATTCCTTCTGAAGGATTATTTTGTCGCGCTGTTTCTTTTTTCTTGCATTTATTGTATCACATCGGTAGTTTTCTCGCCATAGATGCTTTAGAGACTATTCTCTACCTCATATCTCTATCATATGATTCCTATGTTCTTTGAATACTGTTCAACAACATGGATTTCCTAACAGTACCTGAAGAACGCGTGATAACACCTGGCTCACACTTTTGAGTGGCAGCTGGCTTGAAAGCGCTTGTAATGTCTTTGTATGTCAACACGTGCATAAACGTAGAAATACTCGCTAGGAACGACCACGCTTATTGCAGCAACATTCGGTTTCCATTGGCGTACAGAAGCAGCCATCAACAGATGACATCATTTCTTCTGCTTCATTCTTCCCCTCATCTTCCTACAATAGGTAGTCGCATTATTGCACCATCGATGTATTGAAGCCATACTTTCATCCTTACACATTCGCTTCACGTTACCATCCTCCTTAATTTTTCATTGTTGCAGCAAGTACGCAGAGGTTCAATTACTGAGGTTTTGGATTCATTCTATGGCAACCATAAAAAGTCCCACGTGACAAAGTTCTCGAAAAGACGAGCTTTAAATATTGAACGATCTGCATAGCAGCCGCATCGGTCCAACCTCTATTCCTCTGAACTAATTAACAAAATACTGTCTGAAAGGACATGTTATTGAGATAGGCGTGAATTTTTTTTAGCCAGCACTTTTACAAATGGACAAGTTATACAAAGACATTACAAAGCGCATCTTCACTATAATAACTATCCAAAAGACACAGCCACCTCTTACTTACTGCTTACTCCTTTTTCATAGTATGGTATGATATGAGATACAACCACAATGATGACGATGTATTTACAAAACTCCAGACCGCAGGTGCCTGCGGTGGAGACCGAACACGCTATTATCTTTTCCGGGGGTTAACGTGTTCACCACCACACCAAAGGACATTTGTCATTTATAGCATTTGTTTTTGAGTGGCAAATTCAAAACCATCTAAACCAGGAATCACGGCCAACTGATGCAGATGTCCACATTGCATCGCAGCCGGCTCGAGATTCCTGTGGTGACTCGGTATACAAGAACATCCGCCAGAAGTCCATGGCACACAGCTGCTCAGATTCCTTGGTCAGCACTCAGGAATCTTGACAAGTTGTGAAAACAAAAACTCCTTCTGGCCTTTCTGGCAGACACCTGCGATCCGGAGTTTTGCAAATATTTCAGCATCACTGAAGTTATAGCTGGCCTTATAATTCTTCTCTCGCAGCATCATTATTTCTATTGTCGTGTTATTGTCTTATCTTTTGTCTCTCACCAATCTCTGCTTATCATAGCCAAGCATCTCGTAGCTAATAACCAAATCATCAACATCAACAACAACTATACCTAATCGTAGTTCACCGTTAACCACATCATGTTCCTGTCTCTTGAACTTGGTGAGATCTTAACAAATTCTCCTAGCCGCTGGCTTCACTACCACATAATCTTCGCAAATTATTAGTTTTTCTCATTTTATGTTAATTAACCCTCATGTAACCTTTGTATACTAACCACAGTGTATTATTACTGTTTTCGTATGGCGCGTATTGATAAAGGTTTAATTACCCAAGTGCTGCACCGGTACAAACGGATACAAACGCATAGATAGTGCCGCACAGCAATAACGAAAAGGCGATCATTCAAATCTACTGACTAACCGATGTACTTACTAGCTATAAAGAAGGAACATGGTGTTAGCTACTGCTAGGTACAGAAACGTCTGTATATGCGAGATAATTGTGATTTCCGAGAGCCTACAAAGAGTTACTTTAGTTTTTTCCTCGAAATTCCAATTTCGAAGAGCGAAATAGGCGACATGATTTTGTACCGCAGATCACGATGACCTCCTGGTAAGCATTGACGCTTGAGGTTGCCGAACTTCCATCAAAATTTCAAAAACTTAAATTTTATCCTAATTTCTGGAAGAACTGAACTTCAAATAAATTTAAATTGGAAGTGACGAAAAACCTCAACGCCAATGGAAAAGAAAGTTATATGCAAATCTACACTGATAGAGCGAAGTCTTTTCTATGTATCTACCAAGTTATTAACTCTAGGTATTTCAGTTATCGAAAAATACGCAAGTTCCGATCAAAGTTATGCATAGTTCCAATTAACGCCAACAAAAATTGGCCATTGGGCCATATTGTTGAAGAAATTCGAGCACGGTTACCCTGCATAAGGATGACCGAAGGGATCTTCGTAACTACCGTCCGATATGCTTGTCGCGCGACCTCTAAATGCTATTCACGAAGATTATCTTGTTGCACATATCGACTTTAGACGAGGCACAGTTAAGTGAGGATTTCGAAAGGGATCCCGCTGCATAGACCACATCCAAACCGCGTCGAGGGTCATGAAAGCATGTCAAGAATACCACCTAGCCTAGTGCTGACCTTTGTTGAATAATAAAAAGCGTATGAGAGCGTATGAAGGATGCGATCCTATCAGCATTCGTCAATCAAGGACAGTTCATATACGAATTCTAGATTACTATTACCGGAACTGCAGCATAAAAGCACAGTTTTTCCACTGACAACTTACCATACTCATAGAAAAAGGTGTTCGACAAGGAGATAACATATCGCCAAAGCTGTTTCGCGCCACACTGCAGTGTATTCTGCAGCGGATAATAAAATCACTCGATTTGGATGAGAGAGACATATGTATAGATGGAACATTCCTACCAAACCTTCACTTCGCACATGAAATCGTCACCTTTTGGAGGTGCATTGTTAGCATGAATGATGCTCCAAGGGCTCAACGAATTGCGATGTAGATTGGAATAAGCACAAACAGAATGAAGACCTAGTTCATAATGAGCCTATAGTGCGAATAATTTCCGAAGCCTACCTAATCGTTCACAACCTAGAGGTACACAAATGGATACCGAATAGATGGGTTGGTCATATAATGAGAAGAACACACGACAGATCGAAGAAATGAACCGCAGAGTGGACTCCAATCTGGTGAAACTTTGGGAAGACCACCTACACAATGGACGCATGCATTTATAACTAATAGAAATCAACTGTCCTCGGTACTACAGAATTTTACATATTACGGAGCAAGAATCGCACAGGCAACCATGATCGAAGTAAACCACCACCATGGATGACAACTCGCGTAAAAGAAACGAATGAGAAATGTGTTGAGGTCATGTTACCGGTGAAGACAGGCCATCCAGGTATCCAAGCAAGTATCCACAATTTTCAATCTAAAAAATACAATACCCCCACACGAAGCATAGCTGAAGTATATTAATACATCTGCGAAGACTATGCCACCTATCAGAAATTACGATTTCCGTAATTCAGTAGAAAACCTGGAATTAATTAAGGAGTAAAAGTGAAATAGCCGGCGTTGATCTATCCGTGAAAGATGCGTCATACATTCGACATCATTAAGAATGGCAGGAATGATTGCACATTTGGCCTATATAACGACACGCGGTGCACTAACGTATCAAGTCAGTATTTTTGTCCTCCCAGGTAGGCCTGATAATAACTTTCCGAGCGCGGAGCAATGGAAGACTTGGTGAGCCTAGAACGCGGGTCCGGACAGTCGAGCGATCCAGTGTATTGCAGGACAAATGTATCTCAGATGTCTTCGAAACAATCGATGAAAACAAAAGTGCTTAAGTGCATGATTTTCTCTTACCACCCTCATAGAAATAAACAATATTAGTAATAATGGCTCCCAATTCTACGTCACTCAGATTCCAGGAAGACGCCCCCTTTTTCTTATAAATTCGCGACGATGTGTATTAATTTCCAATGTGCACGTATAAAACACGACGTCTAATTTTCGTTTTCGCATATTTTCCGAGAGTTACTTGTTAACCTGTTCCAGACATTATGGGCAGTACGGTGCTTATTTTCAGCAACTCCCAGAAGTTTTTTCACAACACTATGAGTATTCATAAGGGCGCGTGTGGCGCAATGGTTGGAGGTGCCACTGCAACACACACGAATCGATCCCCGCGCCCACGGTCCACCAAGCCTTCCATTCCTCCAGGGTCGGTGAATTGGTGCCAGACTTGTTTGCAAGGATGGCAGCACTGATTCGATACATCGGTAGGTCACCGCGAGTCATT